GCTGACTTTATTGTAAATAAATGGGGTATAGAAACTAAATTTGGAAAATAAAAGAGAAATAAAGAACCTAAAACACTGTCATTATTAACAAATACGGAAATATTAATAATGTTTCAAAAATACAAAACACATATAAAGAAGACTTGTACTGTAAGTACAACTTTTATTATTTACAAATACTTTCAGAACAGAAATCCAAAATTTGAAATCCGTTAAGGATTTAGCTAAATTAGGAATGGTAAAATATTATGACATGACAAGCAGTTATTCGGGAGTGTGCAATTCATTTATATTGTATTTATCATTACCTGTAACCACAGCCACGAGTGAGAGGTCATTTTCAATACTGAAACTAATAAAAACACACTTAAATAACAATATGACACAAGATCGGTTGTCAAACGTTTCACTATTGAGCGTTGAAGCTGAGATGGCTGAGAAAATGGACGTCCAAGTACTGATAAATAATTTTGTGGAAATGAAGGTTAGGAGACACAAATTTCAAAAGAAGGATTTTTTTTTCTTTATGATGAATTTTGGCCACCAATGTTATCATTACATTTATTGAGGGGGGAAAATTAGAGAAGAAGAGCAGTACGGACTGAGGAAAATTAAAAGGAAACAGTAAAAAACTTTAGCGTTCATATTTTTTATAAAAATCAAGTGTTCAAGTAGTTTAGTGTACCAAAAGGTTTTTTAAAAAGACAGAAAAAAACTTTACCATACAATATTTTCTACAAAAATTGTATGTGCAAATAGTTTTCTTTATGAAGTTTATGATAAATATGTTTTATATTTAACAAATGTATCATTTACATTATAAAAGTTCTTATTTATTACTTGTATATTATTGCATAAATCATGTTCGTAAGCTGAGTAAATCACAGAGTACTTATACATTAGCTTTTCTGTACGTTTATCAATTATCTTGTCTGTCAGTTTATAATATAACTAATTATTTATAAGTTTGCTAACTTCAGCGAAAAAACTTAGATAGGCGCATATTTTATATAAAAATTTAAAACATTAGTATGTAAAACTTCTTGGATTTTATATAAAAATCTCTGCCAATCTAGGCTTTCTTCCTTTTCTTAATGCTATACGTTGACATGTTCCCTTGTTTATATACACTTATTCATTTATTATCAGTACGTATCTCAGTGAAAGGAGAGAAAAATCTGTTTCTCGCACTCACACAAAAAGTCTTAAGTAACTGAATTAAAATCATCTGACGTAAAATACCCAGACTAAAGCAAATTTTCATTTCACCAGTTGGTCAAGGGAAATTATTTTCCTTTTTATTCTTTCTTCATGTTACATACCTTTCAACTGGTTCCCTAAGAACGTGCTTTTATTTTTTAACAATTAATCCACGTGTGATAAAAATCATCATGAAAACATTGCCTCCTGGAATACTTGATTTTTTTTTTAAGCACATTAAATTTATTGGGAAAGGGGCCAGGGCCCAGGAAAATATTTTGCATACGAGCCCAAGAGTTCTACTTAGGCCACTGTATGAGGGAATTCATGTTTCTTTCTAGGTAGAGATTTTAAGTGATATTTACCAGTTAATAGAACTTTTTATTCCATTTTAAATGATAGCTGATCGAAATCAGTGTTTCATTACCAATCTAAAAGCATTTATCCATGTCTGTTCGAAACAAACACAATCAAAAATTATTGTCAACGTATTCTATAGGGATATATTTTTGACATTTCGGTCATTTTCAGTGAACTTTGATTCTCTGCCAATTAGTGAAGTGTTTATTAAGTTTCACTTCCAAATGCATTTCGTATGTCACATACGCTCATTACAGTGGCTTAGGGAATTTTTTTTTTTTTTTTTAAAGGAAATAAATACAGTCAAATACCAAAAATCCACCAACTCCTGAAATCCACATTGCCTCTCAAAACACAAACATTCAATTTAAAGGTTCCGGAACCCGCAACATAGAGAACGAAATATCGAAGAAAAAATACTTAGCAAATAATAACGACTCATAAGGGAAATACCAAATTACTGACATCATGGTAAAAGTTTTTTACCCTCCAATCTGTATGGAGTTTAAAAATATATCAGAGTTTCTGACAAAAATTCTTTTAAGTGACCATTCTATTTCACTTTGTGATTATAATTAAAAAAAAAAAAAAAAAAACCACCATCAAAAGATTGCATTTATTTGTTAGCAAAATCATGGAATTCTATTTCCCAAGCAACAATAGTAAATGCCTGCCATAATGTATGGCAGTCTTCTCTCTTTATTGAAACTGAGAGTGATGACAGTGAATTTTCTGGTTTTAGGGTCAGTGCAGTAAGGGTTAAAGCAAGAGAATTGCTTTTGTATTTGAAAGAAAGAATAAATGAGGAGGCTTTGCAAGAAGATATCGTTGAATGGATGATGTGTTCAGATGAGCCAACACTGGCATAGTAGATGACCGATGATGAAATCATTGGCTCTGTTTTGAACTCGTCACAGCAAGAAAACGATTCAGACACCGAAACAGATAGTGAATTTGACAGGAGTATGAAAATATATTTTAATGAGGGTTTGAAACATGGTAAAAAATATACCTAAAATTTTTAAAACAACAGAGCTGTGTCACAGAACAAGATATTATGACTATATAATTTTCAAAAAATAAATTTACTCTGGAGCATCCTAAAGTTTTAAAACAAACCTCTACAAGAAAAATGTTTGACACATGTAAAAAAAAAATTGCTTTATTAATACCCCTTACTTTTGTGTCTATTGTATATGTCCTTAATGCTTTTAAATATCCCTTTAATCACTAATATAAATGAATAATATAATATAATTAAATGTATATATGTTGCGGTGAAAGACCGTAATCTGGAGAATGTCGACTTTTGCCGGTGAATGTCAAACATTCACTTAGTCTCTTGGTGTATGTCCGAAATATTTTCCAAATACTCTTATTTCTGACACCGGTCAATGTTGATATTCACCATGTACTAATGGTGAATGTTGAACACATAACAATATTATATTTTCTTCTCTATAATTCAGTCGCCAATAAATGCACTTGAAACTTGAAATAAGAACTTACGAACATGAGAACCTAAAACACACAATACATTCAAAATGAGAAAGGAAAATAATAGAAGTTAAAAACTTACTTAATTATACAGTACGTTCTAAATAAGAAAATAAAATAACAGTAATAAAAAACTCACTAAATTATGTGATTCAAATCTTATTTATTGCAACAACTTAAACTATTATGGCACTTTATGACCTCTCTTTTCGACTTTCACCAGAACATATCTGCGATTGTTGACATACACTGGTGAGGGTCCGAATATACAAGAATGTAGTGAAATATTCAGTCTTTCACCGACGTATTTGGTGAATGTTGATATTCTCCGGTGAAAGTCGACATTCTCCAATTTCGGTCTTTCACGGTAACATATATTATAGTATAATAATTTAATGCATATAATATATTATTGTAATAATGTGTATGTATATTAATGTGTATAATAATTAAATGTATCTAATATGCCTTATTTATTTTGCACTTTTAGTCTGAATATTATGATTTATCTTTTGTCTCGAAATCCGCACCTCTGGTCCCAAGCATTACAGATTTCTGAACTTCAACTGTATTTCCTGAAATTCTCTATGCTTACATGAGTACCCTGATTTTAAGCTTTATTGCTTCTTTTTCTGCTTCACAACTAAATTGAAGAGCACAAATCTTAAAATTTTCAGTCTCCACAGAATTTATTTGGGAATAACTGTGATGTCATTGTTTCAAAAAAAGGATTCTTGGGATATCCCTTATCTATAACTTTTTGAACACTTAGGGCATGTTACCTCTTTTCATATTGCTAGAGCTGCAAATCATCGAATTTTCAGATATTTTACTATATATTCTTTTTACACTGCCTTCTAAGAACTCGAAAATATATTTTTACTAAATAGTTATATTGGCTGATAATTTTTGTTTTTAATGTGTTTGGAATATTTAGCTTGAAATGAAATGGAATTAATTTTCTCTGACACTGATATATTATATGATCACAGGTAGCTAATGAAAAGTTTAAACTAACCCACTTCATACGGACTTTGTATAATTTTATCAAAATTATCACCATTTGCATTTATTAAAATTATCCCTTGCATTACCATGGATTTTAAGAAAAATTATGTCCTAATTTCATTAGAAAATATCAGGCTACTACATCATCATAAAAATCATCAACTCTTAAAATGATTTGAGTTAAACTACAAGATTAGAATATTCATGTACAGGGTCTACTGCTTAGCTGCTGGTGGGCAATACATTTTAATTTGAAAACTCTCATATATTAGACATACTCTGATGAACAAAACCTAAAATGCTACACTAGATGTTGCAAAAATATCACTTATGAAAAAGAGAAAATTATTTTGAAAACTTACTACTGCTAATTAATAATTCAACCTTTATGCTCCTGGAAGAGATGAAGGCTCAACATTCCAGTTCTTAAACAGAATCAACTTAACAAAGCTTATTTTATTCATGTAGCATGCTGAATTGCCAACATGCTGAAGTAACCACATAAATTTTTAACACTTTTGTAGTTATATAAAAATTCACATGAAACTGTTATAAAAGGTTTGGGATTTAAAATCTAATCCCACTAGTCCACTGCTAACATACAACTGCACAGCAACAGATTTCAAACATAATTATTTTTCATTAACCCTTCAGCAGTTGCGAGATCAGAAAATTCTTCTCAATTACACACCATATCTATCAGTCATTAATTTGCAATGCAAGCTGTGTTTTTTGCGCCCACTACGGTGCATGACTGAGAGCCGAGCTTATTCATGACCTTCAAATGGTTAATATGCTTGGTAATTTTGAAAATTTTTGGTTTATAATAAATAAGTTTTTCATGAAATGAGCATGTAATAACAGTCTGATTTAATTGTATAATTCTTTTATTTCATACCAAAACTGTATTGTTTGTATCATTAAGGAAAAGTGCATAACATCAAGACCTTTATTAACACAATTCTAAGCAACTCACACTTACATCAACAATAAAACATCAGTCAGTTACTACAGAAACAAATTTTGTGTTTGTCAATCATTTCAAATCACACGTAGTGTTTGTTTTATAACTTCTCATTCTTAACACATAATATTTTGTAAAAGAATCATTGAAAAGAGAAAATGAGATTCACATTTGAAAGAGACTTAAAAACTACCTAACAGATCTTCATAATATTGCATTCCTAATATAAATTAATGTAAAAATATAATGCAGACTTTATATCATTGAAAACATCAATATATCAAATTATATTACTGGCTTTAAAGAAATTCATATAGAAAATGTAACACATGTATTATGGAAATTCGTTACATAAGCATAATTGAGACATTCTGAATTTTCACATATATTAGTATATTTTTACTTTATTTCAGAGAGGAAGAAAAAATACGGGCAAAAATTTGATTTATGAAATATTTTCAACTTTTGTATTCTTACAAATTTCAGTTCTAACAAATTATACAAAATAAATTCTTTATAATATTTTCTTAAGTAGATTAGCCAACTACACTAAAATGTTTGCCAGTATAATTTCAGTACATGGAGATATAACATGTCAATTTATATATTAAAATAGATTTGTTTTACATTATTTCGCAGTAATGAATATTCTGCAGTCTAAACAGTATTTTTAAAAATGAATAAGTCATAGATAAAAATAGTAAACCACACAGTCAATAAAAAGGTATCTCACAGAAATAATTTTAAGAGTATATCACAAAGTTTATATCTAGGCTAGTACAAAAGTGCCTTTATCATTCCACAATTTAAAACTTTTGTTCACATATCTAAAGTTAATAAAAAATATGGCAAAAGGCCACCTTCCTCAGAAACAAGCATTTTTGATTTAAGAAAGAATAATACATCACAGAAAATCATATAATTTAAATCAAATGTAGTAGTGTATCATCATGGCTGATTTTTCTTCATTATATTTTTGTAAATGTAGCAATAAATAAGAGTATTTCATTTCCTTGTAAATGCAGTAAATGTAAATTACACCTAGACCTAGTTCCTTAAATGTTGAAAACGTTATGAGTATTTAATGTCAAGATCACTCATACAAAAATATTTTTCTCTTCATAAAATGTTTTCTTTTTCCATTAAAATGATGAGAAGGTGCCAACAGGGTGATTTCATCAATAAAAGTAGTAACATAACAGTTGGCTTGAAGTCTTAATAAACGTATCCATGATTAGACTTCAGAATAAAGAGCAAGAGTCCACAGTAATATTGCTCTCATGAAATTAAAGATTCTTAATCTTCTCCACCAGATTCTGGCGAGGGAAAAGAAAAAATATTATAACTGAATTTGTCTAAAAAAAGGCTTCAAAATAAATGAAAGTACTTAAGATCAAACTACTTAACTTAATTCTACTTTTCACAAATTAACACTTAAAATGATATCATGTATTAAAAAAATATTCAAATTTAAAAAACAAGTTTATTGTAACAAACAAGTTTAGATTGTGATGCCAGCTCTTAAAACTGATGCATAATCATAAGTGAAACGTTCTTGAACACCATGGGAAACATAACAACAAAATATTTCTGTATTTACTTTAAAATAACAACCTCCTCACAATTTAGGATAAATATTAAGAAACAAAAATGTAGGTGAATATTTTGTCTTGTACCAATACTGAAAGCAAAACTTAAGGTATTTCTATCCTTCAGAATAATAGCAATATTGACTGTGGCTCAAAGATTTGTTACATACATTATTGCCTATTTGTTTATGGACATGTCAATAACTAGTTAAGTGGATGCAAACCTAAACTAAAACTGCTCCCCTAAATGAGGCTATCATAATGAGTGAAAGTTAATGCAGCTTATTTTTAGGGTAATTGATGTTGTTTTGTCATGGAAGAATGGCTGCCAAAGCATCAAGGAGGTTGGACTTCTACTTCCGCTCCAATTTTGATGGAAAGCACCCTGGGGGTTGGTCCGAGGGTCTTTCCTTACCACACGAGAGGACTTTCAGCTTGCCATACATTTAGACTGCCCCCTTCTTGCAAAGACACTGTACATTTACAAACAGCCATGCCTTCTCTGGGATTCAAACTCGGGCCCTTCGGTACGAGAGTAGGATCTCCTAACCACTATATCATCTGAGGGGCTATCAATGTGGTTTACTTATTTAAACACTGTAACTATTCCATATACCAATTAAATTCCTTACTTTTATTTTCCAATTTCATTTATAAAAATACATGATTTATAAGACCCTATCAAATTTTAACACAAAAGGACAGCAAAAAAAAATAGGGGATCTTCTTTTTGAGTAAATATGATAAGTACTTAATTATATCTTTTAAGCATAAACCCAACAATTATTCTTTAATGACAATGGGGAAATAGTTTATAACTAATTACCTCAATTAACATGAATAAATAGTCATATGTATTGTCTGATACATCTAAAATCTAATACATAAACCAATAAAATGGCAGGTCATAATTTTTTCTGACAGCAAGGTTGAAAAAAGCCATCTGCATAATTGGAGACTCAAGAAGTTTAGTTTTTAAAAGTTATTAAAATTTGCAATGCTCAGTTTCTCTCGTTTCTAATAACTGAAGAATGAAATTATAAAATGATACTTTTCTATAACAATCTGATTTTCTAACTGGGGGGAAGACTTCATTTTCATGAATTTGAATTTAATTTTTTTTTACTCATCCAGAAATACATCGTGGTAATCGCTGGATGCCACATGAGCTGACTCAAGAAGATATAGACAGACGTGTTTTGGCCTCCTTGAACATCAACGCAAGTTTTCTGGGCTGAAAGCTGTGAAAAACTACCAAAATGTTGGCAAAAGTTCATAGATTTGGGTCATGATTACTACACTCCCTAAAGGTATTTCCCCCCTTAACTTTATTAAGAACGTTTTTTGGCAGAAAACCATTGTGACAACCAAATATTATTATCTGGAAGATATTTAAATTATACTTACGCAAAAATGAATGCTTATTTCATATATCATAATGGGGAAGTTTCAGCATACCTAAAACCAAGGGCTGGGTCAAATTGATCCCAATTAATAAAAACTTGTGCTGTTATGCTAAAAGTACGCTGTAATTATTTGGCAAAGACATTTATTCATTTTTAACATTAAATTGTTATAATAAGTGATAAAAAATAATATTACAATATATAATATTGTATACAGTTAGTAAAATATACAGACAACTTTAATAGAAATATTAGTTTCTTAAGAGTCAAGATTTTCTACACAGTTCATGCACATTTTGGGCAACTTCTTTTTATATATTTTGTACACTTTCTGTTTTGTATTAGCTGAGAAATACTTGGCGACAGAGGAGAATCTTGTCTAATAGCGCATGTGCCAACAGAATCAGCGCTGAATTATAGTCTGTGAGAAACTTGATTTTTGTTGTACATTCAAAATGATTCATATGTTACGCTGTAAGAAACCTAGCACCAGAGTATCGCTATGTATTGAAAGTTTGAGTGTATTATTTCTGTAATGTGTGTGGTGTTATTTTATTGTGACATATAGCTATCGATGGGAAATAGAATAAGTTAATTAGAGTTTTTTGGCTGGTCAGAGCCGGAACATCTAATAAGTTTATGAGACTGTGATATTTCTTTCGGTTTTGTGAAACGAATAATTACATAGGATACTTCCAGATTGAAGTTCTGTAGAAACAAAAGGGTAATTGCATGAATACTGAAAATAATGTTAAATTAGCCAAAATTATTTTGCCAACATTTTCGGGTAACTTACATGAGTGGCTTTCATTTAAAGATATCTTTTTAGCCACTGTTGATTCAAATCCTAATTTAACAGATGCAGTCAAATTACAGTATTTAAAATCTGTGCTAAAAGAAGATGCTTATTGTATTGCTCAGTCAATATCCATAGTTGACTCTAATTATAAATCAGCTTTTTCATTACTAGAAGAAATGTTCTCTAATCACTGCAAACAAGTGTGTGCTCATCTGCAAGGATTTATGAATATGCATCCTATGCAAAATGAGTCTGCGTCAGCAATATTAAACTTAATTGACATTACAAACGAATGCATAAGATCATTAGAAGTTTTAAATCAGAGTGTTCAAGGGTTTTCTTCCAATATATTTGCATACATTTTAGGGCAAAAATTAGATCCTAACACCAAAATATGGTGGGAAAGAAAATTAAAGAGAATTTGCCTAATTTAACAGATCTTATAGAATTTCTTAAAGATCATGCAAGAACTCTCAATGCTTCAAATAGTGTGACTAATACAAAAAAAGTTACACATAGAGTTACTGTGGTCGTTTCTAATGCAAATGAAAAACATATACAGAATTTGTGTAGATTACGTAACTTGAGCAGTCACAAGCTTTTTAATTGTCCTAAATTTCAGAAATTAAGTGTAAAAGAAAGGGTAGAATTTGTGATAAAACAGAATTTATGTTTTTGTTGTTTTAATTTTCACAGTGTGAGAAATTGCCGTTCTAATTATTTGTGCAAGAAGTGTAAGAAAAAAACATAGCTTTCTTTTTTGTTATCAAAACGAAAATAATTCCGTTGGTACCACAGTAGAAAGAGCACACACTTCAGATCAGGAGTTCGTTGATCAAAACAGAAATGCGTTAAATGTATATGCACCTGCATTTCAAACTCAAAACTCAAAACGAACATCTGTACAGCCGCTACGGGTACTAACAGTGGGAAAAACGTGATTTAATCTACCACCTTTGTATTTATTGAGACTAATGATGGAACTTTAATTAAGGTGAAAGGGTTATGTGATAGTGGAAGTGTTTCTTGTTTTTGTACCACTGAATTAGTGGATATGCTTAATTTAAAAAGGGAAAAGACAAATATTTCGGTTTGCAGTATATCAGGTATTTCAACTACGATAAAAAGAAAACAGTTGCCCTTATCTGTCATCAGTAGCAAAAGTAAGGAAACTAGAGGTTTTGGTAATTTCAGTTTATCTATGTTAGTAACCTTGAGATTCCTGAGAAGGTGAATTTAGCAGATCCGGAATTTTATAAACCAGAGTAAGTAAACCTGTTGCTCAGCGGGGAAGTTTTTTATGATATGTTACAAGCTGATAAATTCTACGTTCCTCACACGGGCTTGATATTACAAAATAGTGTGTTTGGATATATAGTTAGTGGAAATAATTTATCGTATTGTGGGTTAATAAATGATAATTCAGAGAGTGAATTGAAAATGTTTCACGAACTAGAATCATTAGGAATTAAAGATGATCCTTATTGTTGCTCTAAGATTATCGCGTAAAGCTAAACAAATTATGAGCGAAGCAAATATGAACTTGCGTATCTAATGATCCAATGATCCTGAGCTGATGAGAAAATGGGAAGAAGAGTAGTTCGAGATCCATCCACATAAAGTCAACGACTTAAACAAGACACTTACAATCTTAGGAATGTTTTGGGATACTAATGATGACAGTCTGAGTATAGACACAGACAGTTTGATTGAATTTCTTAAGAATAAGCGTAATATGAAACGATTCATCTTGAAAACTGCAGGAAAGATTTTTTTTTTTATCCCTTTGGGTTAATAACTCCATTTACTGTTAGAATTAAATTCTTGCTACGAGAACTTGGATTTTGAAATTTCACATGGGATGATGGACTACCTACAGATATCTGTCAAGAGTGGGCAAAATGTGCTGCGAGTGTCGTCATCTTAGTAAAATTGCAGTTCCAAGATGCATTTTGAATCCCGAACCTGATTCCATAGAGATCCATTGCTTTTCAGATGCTAGTCAGAGGGCGTACGGTACTGTTGTCTACGTAAAACTGCGTAAGCAAGAAGAAATTTCTGTGAGTTTCATCGCATCAAAATGTCATGTTGCACCTGTGAAAAGAATTACATCATCTCGTTTTGAATTACTTGGTGCATTACTGCTGAGGTATATAGTTTATTACAGGCCTAAAAAAGTGAGTTTTGAGAAGAAATAAATCAATTAAAAAGAGGTAAGTATGTAAACCTCAAAAGTATTAGTGTAGAACACAAAAAACTGAAAAAATTGGTTGAGTGTCCAGATGAGAATTTAGCGAGTTTTTATACCACTAAAGGTATAGAGTGGAAAATCATTCCTCCAAAGTCGCCAAATTTCGGCGGAATTTAGGAGGCTGGGGTTAAATCATTTAACACTCATTTAAAGATAGTTATTGGCAATCAGTGCTTAACTTTAGAATTCTTAACGGTTTTCACAGAAATTGAAGGAGCATTAGACTCAAGACCTCTCACTCCAATTTCAGCTGATTACAACAATTTTGAAA